TTTTGTCTCGTGCGCATTCTGGCTCCCACCAGTTCCTCTCAACTGCCTCAGGTCACAGAAGGAGCTTCCCTCATCTCCTCTACTCTCTTTCTCAGAGACCTAAAGTAGGTATTAGGTAGTGTTAGGATTGTTATTGTGTTGCGTTAGTAGTAGTAGTTGTAGTCTAGTTCTAGTTTCAAAAAAAACTTTATTCATTATATATTGTTCACAGTTATCGTTAAACAGTTTTTAAAAAAGGAGAGAAAAGAGAAGACAAAATGAAAGGAAAGGGAATGCTGGGTTCGCCCGAATTAAAAAAATGCGATCTCTGTTGAGATGTGATGCTGGCCTCGGACAGGCATTCCTCTTGCATCTGGTGCCTGGGTAAGGGCCATATCCCTCAAAAGTGCACTGATTGCACTAAACTTACAGCCAGAGCTCTGCATGATAGGAAGATGCACCTGCGTATTCTTTTGTTTGACAAGACGCTTCAGCCTGCAGAGGCAGTGTCTCCCTCGCCACCTCCTCAGAAGCGGAGGGCGTCCTCCCTGGGGGCAGACCCTGTGAGAAAGAAAACAGTGTCTCCAGTATGTTCGCTGCCCTCGGCCCCGAGTAGCAAGCTAAGCTCGGGTACCAAACCCAGCACCTCCAGGTCCTGTTCAGGAGCATTTTCTAAACATAAAAAAGATGGTGGACGTGGAACCACCGTCACTGAGCATTATGTCGGTGCCAAGCGTGACAGCACCAGAGACTGCAGCACCGGCAACCTCGGCACTGAAACCGCACACGGCACCAATGCCTTCCATCCTGGCAGCCCCAGTTGGAAACTGCTCATGCCAGCACCCCCCAGCACCGAAGCCGCCCATGCCGGCAGCACCAGCACTGGAGCCAAATCAATCAGTACCACAGCCCAACCCGGCACATATAGCAACTGTACATAGGAAGGCTTCAGGTGGGACTGCGGCAGGCCGAGAGCAGAGGTTAGGAAGTGACCCAGGGCAGGGAGCTGTAGAAGCCCCTGAGGGCTCGGGGCGTTGCGGGGAGGAGCCCCCGCCGAGCCAGTGGTGGGGACCACCTGCCACTACTAAGGCCCTGGGTCGGGGCCCGGTGGAGAGGGAGGGCCCGGGCCCCCCTACCCCTGCTGCCCGAGACCCTGGCAAGTGGGGACCGGGGTAACAGACACTGAACTGTGGACTAGGCCTCTGGGCCTGTAAACTGTGGACTAGGCCGGGAGGCCATATTTCCCCTAGAACAGGGGCACTGAACTGTGGACTAGGCCGGGAGGCCGTATTTCCCCTAGCACAGGGGCACTGAACTGTGGACTAGGCCGGGAGGCCGTATTTCCCCTAAAAGGGGGCATCACGCTTTGGGCCGAAGCCCCAGTTGGTTGGATGATGCCTCGGAGGGGGGTGGCAACCCCCGTCAAGGGCAGGGCCCCCCGACAGAGACGGTACAAAAAACTTTGCTAAAGTCAAGGTACATCACATCCACTGACTTTCCCATATCCAGAGAGCCAGTTACCTCATCATAGAAGCTCTCTTCTAAGTGCCTCAAAATGAATTTATTGAGGATCCACTCCATGATTTTTCTGGGAACCAAGATAAGGCTGACTGATCTGTAGTTACACAGATTGTCCTTCTTCCCTTATTTATAGATGGGCACTCATCATCATGGCCTCCATACGTCTCCAAAGATGGTAGGATGCAGCATTAAACAGGCTACTCTTTGCAATGTTCTGTGTGGCTCAATAGGCCAATGCGAGAGAGGCATGTTTGGCTGCAGTAGGTACAGCTCTATGTTGTAGTAGTGTTAGTTATCATCATCCGTTCTTTCCTCTTCTTTCTTTTCTTGTTCTGGTTTTCTGCCAAAGTCTTGTCGTCGTGCTTTTGTCCTTGGCGGAGGCGTTGACACCCAGTATTTCTATCCATTGCCAGGTTTTCCCAACTATCAATGTCTATCTGAAACTTTACCAAAGCAGCTTTGCAGTAGTCCTTGAAATGGAGTTTAGGGCGTCCTTTTGGTCTTATTCATCTAGCCTTGTCCTTTTGGTCTTGTACATCTTGGCATCCATCTGGCCATTTGCTTGCTATTATCTGTAATTGAGATACCCTCCTTAGTTTTTAAGGGAGCAATCTTAGTAATGTTGGGACCTAAAGCTTTCCTAAGGCCTTCATACATGGCTCTTGCATTTCCTATATCGGAGGCAACCTGGATATTACTGCAAATATCTATCCAGTATTGATTTATGCAGCGCCTGATCTCTCTCTGGAGTAGGCCTTTTGCATGCTGTAGTTTGGCCTTTGCGCTGTCGTATGGATTCTTTATGTATTCAAGATATGCTTTGTTCTTCTGCTTTTGGAGGGGCATCAATCTGTCAGCATTTTCCTCAAGCCATTCCTTACTGGAAGACTGTTTTTCTCCAAAAGCTTTATGGGCTGCTTCATAAATAGCGCTACGAAGAATTTGCCATGTTTCTTCAACTGATTCTACATGTGCATTCTCGTCCCGCTTTTTTGCAAAGGCTTTGGCAAAGTCTTCACATTTAGTACTATTCCTTGTGTTCACACAATTAAGTTTTGGCTTTTTGTTCAGTATGTTTTGTTCAGTTTGTTCTACATTTGCCTTTTTCCAATCATCTGGGATCTCTCCAGATCGCCACAAGTTTTCAAAGATAATGGCCAAAGGCTCCACAATGACATTTGCCAACTTCCTCAGTACCCTCGGATGCATTAAATCCGGACCCATGGATTTGTGTATGTTTAGCTTTTCTAAGTAGTTCCTAACTTGTTCTTTCCCCACCACGGGCTGTCTACCTCCTTCCACTAATGCGCTGTGTAGTGCATTAGTCTGGGAGCTGAGGATGGATGAAGCCACAGTGATTCTCATAGCCCCAGCCTGGGCGAGGCAGTCGTGGTTCCTGTTCCTGCACAGAATATCCCTCTGGAACTCATATACCTTGCGGAATCTGCCAGACCTATTGACGCAGGACTAAGGGCGCCTCATCCACCTGCAGCCACACACCCTGCATTTGACTGCTTGGCTTGTAACTGGTTCAGTCCGTCCAAACAGGCTTGTTGAGACCAAGTGAAGAACGTCCTCCTGCACAGGAGGAGAGATGCTATTCATACGACCTACCAGTTTAAGTGGTGGAGGTTCACGTCATGGTGTTCTACTAATGGACTCACCCCGGAGACTGCATCTGTCCAGCACATACTTAACTATATCTTATCCCTCAGCCACGGGGGTCTTTCCATTCCATCCCTCAAAGTTCATCTTGCTGCAATTAGCACTTTCCGTCACTCCGTGGATGGTAGGTCGGGGTTCTCACTTCCAACTACGAGAATAGTGATAGAAATGTAGCCGTGTTAGTCTGGGGTAGTTGAAGCAAAATGCAGGACAATGTAGCACTTTAAAGACTAACAAGATGGTTTATTAGATGATGAGCTTTCGTGGGCCAGACCCACTTCCTCAGATCAAATAGTGGAAGAAAGTAGTCACAACCATATATACCAAAGGATACAATTAAAAAAAAGAACAAATATGAAAAGGACAAATCACATTGCAGAACAGAAGGAGGAGGCGGGGGGGTGGGAAGGGGGAGGAAGGAAGGTAAGTGTCTGTGAATTGATGATATTAGAGGTAGGGAGAGTGGGATGTTTGTGAGTTAATGGTATTACAGGTGATAATTGGGGAAACTGTCTTGATAATGGGTGAGAAAGTTCAAAGACTTGTTAAGTCCCTGGTGGTAAGTGTCGAATTTTAACATGAATGACAGTTCAGAGGATTCCCTTTCAAGTGCAGATGTAAAAGGTCTTTGTAGCAGAATGCAGGTGGCCACCACGTCCCTTCAATTGCTGACACTCAAAGTTGTTTTTCTCTTAGCTATAACTTCCACCAGTAGAGTGAGTGAAATAGCGGCACTGATGTCAACACCACCGTTCACCCTTTTTACCAAGGATCAAGTCATACTCAGACCTCATCCAGCCTTTATTCTGAAAGTATGTTCTGCATTCCACCTTAATGAGCCAATTGTATTCTCTTCGTTCTACCCAGCTCCCCATGCTTCACCGCGGGAAGCGCGATTACACAGGTTGGACATTTGACATGCCTTTTATATAGATAGAACCAAGAGCTGGAGGAAAATGAACTGTTTATTGCTTTCTGTAGCGGACCGCACCAAGAGCAAAGCAATGTCCTCCCAACATGTGGCCAAGCTCATAACTACCTGTTTTACCACATATTCCCCGATCCGCAACAAGCCTCTTCCTATACATCCTATGGCTCCCTACAATAATCTTGTGACCCCCCCCCCAACTCTCCTACAACTCCTTGTTGGGTCAGGACCCTTATAGTTACAGTGTGAAATTCCAAACTTAAGTAGCTGAAATCATGAAATGTATTATTTTAAAATCCTGTGGCTGTGAAATTGACCAGAATGGACTGTGAAATTGATAGGGCTCTACCCACGTTCAGAGCAGCCATGTAGAAAACAGGTGGGTGCTGGGCAGGCTCTGCCTGTGTCCCTCAATCTGGCCTGCTGTTCCATTGCTGGCCAGCTCAGCCCATATGTCCCTTGCTGTTCCAGTGCTGGCCCTGCATGTAGCAGTGCCAATGCACTGCAGGCCAGTGAAATCATAATCCTGAACTTGGACAGGATAAGTGTTGTTGATGTCACACAATGCTTTCTGTGTCATTTCACTGTGCACTCAATGAGGACAGAGATGGGCAGCAGGGCCTGGAAAGAGAGCAGTTCAGAGCTGCCGTGGGAATCTAACAGACTAGTCTCAAATTCATTTAGCAGTTTAGACGCGCCAAAAGGATCTTTCTGTAGCCACCCCTTGTAGAGCTTGATGTAGCACAATTCATGATTCCCAAGGACTGGCTGAGTTCTGCCCGCTTTGAGCTAAACCAGGAGTTGTGCTACACTGGCTGCATTATAGTGTTCCTGGCAGCACCCTTATCTCCTTGCCAAGCTGGAGCCATGTCTGCTAACTGGTGCTTGTTTTTCCCTTGGCTTTTAGGTTTTCCTCCAGGGAATGAAGAATCCTCTAGCAGATCCCCCAGGCCCTATCATAGCCATTGCCAGAGTGGTGAACAACTTCAGTGCGTACAGGTGAGTAGAGGGCAGGGGGCACCTTGCCAATTAGACAGGGACAAAGGGCCCAGCAGCTGCCAGCATGGACACAAGACTGTATAGCAGGGTGTGCTGGAAGTGTTAGTGCTTGTATTGTACACTCTGTACTGCAGAAGCCTGGGTTTGGATGGAAGCAGCAAGATTTTAAAGCATGGTTCTATGTTGACTGTGAAAATATCTGTTCAGTAGTCACATTTTATTGCCTCTTCATAGTCGGCGTGTTACATGTCGTCTGTTCCCAGGTCATACCCTGCCAAAAAGCTCTAACTCACCTCTAAGATGGGTAAGATGACTAAATATTATTTGCCAGGGTAGAGCAAAGGGGAAAGCTACTCCATGTGTGTGTACACTTTGTGAATCAACAGAGGGACAGCACAGTCACCTACCATGTTGGCATGTTTAGCAGAATACCTCATCACCCTTTTCCTGTCCTCACAGAAAAGCCATGAAGATGCAGCCTCCTGGCTCTCTTGCAGTTGAATTAACCACGGTGACGTTCCCAGACCCCTCCGTGGTGGCTTTCGATGTTCCTCGGGTCACCAACCAAGGATATCCTCAGGTAGGGGAGCAATCTGTCTGTAAGAATTCCTGCTCCTGCCAGATTGTAGAAGGGTGCTATGCACTACAGTACTAAAGATAGGATGTGGATCACCTCACAGTGAAGCTGGTGCCAAAGGCAGTTCTGCGTAGAGTTTAGAAATGGAATCAGGTGTTAGTAAAGCATTCATCCTCCTTAATACTCTTCATCCTTTACTATGCTGCAACCTAATTGAGTCTTATCTGGCAGGAACTGGAAGTAAGGCCTGACTGGTGGGTTTGGGTATGTAATGCAGCCCTCCATGCCTATGGTGACCATATTTTCTGAACTAAAATTAGGGACCCATTAGCCATGCCCCTGACCTCCACTAGCCATGCCTCCTGCCACAAGAAATCCCACCTCTGGAGGTAGTACTCCAGGGGTCAAGATGGACACATGACTGGAAGTAAAGGGTGTCATGTGACCTCTACCTGAATTCGAGCTCCCGGTAAGCAGCACACCTCTCGAGATTCCAGGTCCGGACGGCAGATGGATGGCTCAGTCTCTCTACAGGTCCTCTACCAGTAGGGATGGGTTGGCCCCCACAGTACTCCCCATGCAACTAGCCTGCAAATGCATTAACCCAACTTGCATTGCATTATATCAGGGGGAGAGGTTGGGGGAAGTATTCCCGCTAAGATTTTCCTCCCATGAGTGGAGTGAGTTTTGTCTTGTGCACCCTTATTGAGTTCATGTGCACTTGTTCGGAAGTGTGCCACTGTGGCACCCAAGTTATGAATAAATAACTTATAAACCTGTCCCTTTTCCCTCTGCTGCCATGTCTCCCAACCTCCCCTGGTGCTTCCCACCCCCCACCCCTCACCCTCCTCTTCTGTCCTGGCTCTTGCCCTTCTCTCTCCCCTCAGTCCTTTGGGGACCTGCTCCCTCCCATTCTCTTTGACCCCTGCACCAGCACTTCTCTTCCCCCGGTGCCCACTCTGATCATCTGTAGCTACCTCTCTCCATCCTCTCCTAACACCTCCCTCTACCTATCTGCCCTGCCTCTCTCCTCTGGTGCCTGTTCCTCCCCTTCATGTCTGCCTTTCTTCTTCACCCCCAGAATCCCCTGACACCTGCACCTCCCCTTATCCCTGCACCTTCCTGGTGCCTCCCCCTTCCCTCACTGCCCCTGTCCTCCTTGCCAACTTTCTCCATGGTGCCCACCTCCTCACTACCCTCTGCCCCAGTTCTCCTCACGCCCCTCTGTGCCTCACACATGACTTGCTCTAGCCACTGCCATCCTCATGCCCACCTCTCCTTTCAACCCCTCTTTTCCTGGCACTCACTCCTCCCTTCTCCCTATTGTCCCTCCTCTCTCCCAGCATCACCCTGTCCCCTCCCTTCTTCCACCCCCCACTGACACCTTCCCACTCTTCCCCCCTCCTGCCCTTTTCCTCATTGCCTCCTCTTGGCCCCCGGCTCACACATGACTTGCTCTAGCCACTGCCATCCTCATGCCCACCTCTCCTTTCAACCCCTCTTTTCCTGGCACTCACTCCTCCCTTCTCCCTATTGTCCCTCCTCTCTCCCAGCATCACCCTGTCCCCTCCCTTCTTCCACCCCCCACTGACACCTTCCCACTCTTCCCCCCTCCTGCCCTTTTCCTCATTGTCTCCTCTTGGCCCCCTGGCATTTGTCTCTCCTCCACCTTGCCCCTTGGTGCCTTCTCCTTTCTTCTCCTGCCCTTTCCCCCCACCCCTCAGCAGAAAACTCTTCCTCTTCTCACCCCCTCTTCTCCTTAGTTCTCCCCTTGACCTTCCCCTCATCTTCTGCCTTCCAGTTTGCGGGGGCTGGAGCTGGGGCTGCGGTGCTATTTCTAGCTTTCCCAGTCCCCACAGGTAGCCCCAGCTCCAGCTGGAGTCAAGTAGTAGCGACATGAGACCTGTTGCAGTGAGGCTGCCCCAGCTGGAACTTACCTTGTGTGCCTGCTGCTTGTCTCCAGCTGGAGCCGGGGCCACCCATGAGGACCGGGACCACGCTAGTAAAAATAGCACTGTGAGTGGCCCCAGCTCCAGCTGGAGTCAAGCGGCAGCCACACGGGGTGCGCTCTTGCACCTGCTGGCACTCCCTTCCAGTGGCTGCTCTACAAAGGAGGATGGAAGAGGTGGCCAGATCGGACCGTGCGTGGCAGAGGCGTCCTGCAGGAGGAGGGAGGGGGCCGCACAGTGGTGCTCTGGGGACTGATAGAGGCTTGCCGGGCAGTGGCACACACCGCACTGGAGCTCAGAGAATGTTCCGGGCTCCAGCTTCCTACCCTACCCAACCCAGAAACCACACGCCATTGGAAGCAGTCCTGGCTGCCCTCTGGCAAAGCACCCAGCGAGCCATCTACATGCTGGGAGAACAAGGGGACATTGCTGCTGTGCTGTGCTAGCATTTGCGAGGCTGTCCCAGCATGGGAAGGAAATGACAGTGCCATTTCTAGCCAGATCCGGCTGGGCTTTCCAGGACATTTGAGAATTTGAAAGTGGAAGGCAGCCATTGGAAGCAGTCCTGGCTGCCCTCTGGCAAAGCACCCAGCGAGCCATCTACATGCTGGGAGAACAAGGGGACATTGCTGCTGTGCTGTGCTAGCATTTGCGAGGCTGTCCCAGCATGGGAAGGAAATGACAGTGCCATTTCTAGCCAGATCCGGCTGGGCTTTCCAGGACATTTGAGAATTTGAAAGTGGAAGGCAGCGCGGGTGAAAGTGATCATGAATTTGAAAGTGGAAGTCAGCCCTGGTCAGTTTCAGCAGCGGCTGAAGCGGAGAAGCCGGGGGCAGAGCAGCTCCAATTGTCCGGCTGCCCAGAGCACTTCTGGGTTCCAGATGGTGCTGGACCATCAGGCGTGCCGGATCATTGGACGCTGGACCACTGGAGTTTTACTGTATTCCACTGTGTAGGAAAGATAGACAATGTGGCAAAAGACCACCTTGGCTTAACCACGAGATCTTGCATGATCTAAAAATAAAAAAAGGAGTCCTATAAAAAATGGAAAGTAGGACAAATTACAAAGGATGAATATAGGCAAACAACACAGGAATGCAGGGGCAAGATTAGAAAGGCAAAGGCACAAAATGAGCTCAAACTAGCTACAGGAATAAAGGGAAGCAAGAAGTCTGGGTCACTTTGTGCTCAGCTCTGACCACAGATGTAGGTTTGATGCAAATATCTCTGCTTAGGAGTCCAATACACCTGTCCCTGCCCTGGGGAGACATGTGCCTAGTTGGGAGTCCAGCCCCAGTCATGTTGGTTGTTTGCACAGGGATGTTTGCCACAGAATTATTCGCTTGGGATATATTGCAGGACCCCATGACAAGGAGCCTTAGAGCCCAACCCAAACCCCTACAGAGCTGTTTTTATTGCAGTACTGCAAACCAAACTCTCTAGATGTGAGCTTGAGATTTGCGGCTGTGGGATTCTCCTCGCTATGCAGAGGAACCCCAAGTTACGCACTGAATCAAACCTGCAAGGCCCAGACTACTTTAGAGTCTGTTGTTTCTGTGGTAAAGACTCTCACATCTAAAGCCTGCATGGCTTGATGGGGCTTGAGCAGCCAACCTTGGGGCATGTATGGACACAACGCAGCCAGCAACAGTAGGACATGAAAAGCTAATTCTGTAAACACGTTTGAAAAAGTTCTAAAGAGCAGATACCACATGCACAGCAATGCCTGCCTACCTCCTACCAACCTTTCTTGCTTGCTTTCTCATTGAATTTTCCTTGGGCCTTGGAACATGCTGAGGAGTGAATACATTCTATCACCACATTCAGGAAAAATTATAAATAAAATATTACTTAGGGGAGCCACCAACATGCTAAATACCCACTTGGCTGTGGGCTATTGGAAGCATCACTAGTGCATTCCATTCATTAAAATAATTGGTTTTCTGCCGAATTTTAAAGTAAATTACCTGCTGCTGAAAGGATCTGGGTTTGGACGGTCTCTGTGTCATTTCCTTGCTCTGCACTGATTCCTTATGGGATCTCAGCAAAGTCACTCAGGTTAAGATCCTCAATGCGATTTAGGTTCCTAACTTTGAGGATCTGGGCTTGAGTTTTTCTGTGTCTCAATTCTGCATCTGCACAAAGGGGACATCAGCACTTCCACTCTTCAGAGGTTATTGGCAGGTGCTTGAATACAATGGAAATGGGGCCAGATGAGATGAGATAAAATAGAAATAGAAGGTGGGCAGTTTTTAAGGCAAAAAGTCTGGTGTAGCTGGAGGATTAAACACTGCTCCCCATGAAGAGCAGTGTCACTTCTGTCCCTTTCTACATTCAGCCAAAAATGATTTTCTTCAGAATTGTACAAATTGATATATCTCCTCTGAGTGCGAGCTCATAGGACTTCAGCATTAGCCCCAGGGTGCACTGGAGAGCCAATTTCTGTAAATCTCTGGGGAAGTGGCTGACTGGCATTCAGAGGCAGGGGGTTTATTGGTTTGTAGAAATTTGAAGAAAAGCATTTTTGGCTTTCTCTTCCATGTACAAAGACACCACTTTCCACAGCTTCCATTGGCTGGGAACAGCAATCCATGGCCGATGGGAGCTGTGATCGCCCGTACCTGCAGAGGTGCAGGTAAACATAGTGGCGGTGGCCCACCAGGAGCTAACCCTAGAGAATCGATTCTGGCCCATGGGTGAGATTGGGTCCTGTAACCCCTCTGGCCCATATTTACCTACCCTTGATCTTGGGCCTTTAAATAAATCTTAAGCCTAGAGCTTGTCAGAAACACACTGATGAGACATTCTCTCCGTTGGCATCTTCTGATGAATGAAAGTGGAAGCAGTGGGGTTCTGACAGAATCAGCATGCCTTCCTGTTAGGCCCTCTTCAGCTGGCCTGGTGAGCTTCCAGGGAGCCAGATGCTCAGCTACCGGGTCTTTGGCTCTCAGCAGCCTGGGCTTCCAGCTCTGGGGCAGCTCACCAGGCAAATAGCCCAGGAGCCAGGGCTCCCAGGCTTCCTCCCCACTTCTTGCCTGGCTCCCCAACTCCCAC